CCCCCCCCCCCCAAAAAATATTGAGTAATGATTTGATTTGAGTGTTCTGATCACAAAATGAATCACCTGCGATTAATCTAAGACACCTATACCATATATAGCCACACACACACACTCACATGTACACATTACCATTGAAATACTCTCTCTCAGACACACACATTGTAACCTACACATTGACACACACACACACTCAACTATCCTCTAAACAGGCCAAGCTCTTATTTTAGAAAGCCAGGTTCATGTGTTCTCATATTTGCTCCATTTTCGGGTCGATTTTTAGCAACAGTATCACATTGTGTTTTTCCCAAGGTATTCATCAGCATATAGAAAATTTGCAAACTATGCAAAGTGTGTCTACTACATACTGCAGAAATACAGAGTACACATAGCATACTACATACTACTATTTCTGCATACAATTTGTCCACATTTTGATGTGAGTGCATTTTGAAAAGTAGTGTGAATTTGATGTAGCACACTACTTTTACTACAGTAATAGTAAGAGTAGTATGGTAGTACGTTATTCCGATTCTAGCCATAGACTTATTTGTTTGTCATAATGCCGTTTACAACAGAGCACTGTGTGTTGGGTACTACAGTACAGGTGCATCTCAATAAATTAGAATGTCGTGGAAAAGTTCATTTATTTCAGTAATTCAACTCAAATTGTGAAACTCATGTATTAAATAAATTCAGTGCACACAGACTGAAGTAGTTTAAGTCTTTGGTTCTTTTAATTGTGATGATTTTGGCTCACATTTAACAAAAACCCACCAATATGCTCATAAGGCTGCGGCTCGGTTGGTTGTGCATCTCTTTCTTCCACACTTTTTCCTTCCACTCCACTTTCTGTTAATAACATGCTTGGATACAGCACTCTGTGAACTGCCAGCTTCTTTGGCAATGAATGTTTGTGGCTTACCCTCCTTGTGAAGGGTGTCAATGATTGTCTTCTGGACAACTGTCAGATCAGCAGTCTTCCCCATGATTGTGTAGCCTAGTGAACCAAACTGAGAGACCATTTTGAAGGCTCAGGAAACCTTTGCAGGTGTTTTGAGTTGATTAGCTGATTGGCATGTCACCATATTCTAATTTGTTGAGATAGTGAATTGGTGGGTTTTTGTTAAATGTGAGCCAAAATCATCACAATTAAAAGAACCAAAGACTTAAACTACTTCAGTCTGTGTGCATTGAATTTATTTAATACACGAGTTTCACAATTTGAGTTGAATTACTGAAATAAATGAACTTTTCCACGACATTCTAATTTATTGAGATGCACCTGTATATCCCACAATGCAATGTGCTCAATCTGGCCATCCATTTCAAGTGTGACCAATAAACCCAAAGTAATATTAAAGGCGTTTTTAACATCTTTTTCATTAAATATTTGATTAGACTGCCAAATGTTAACACATTTTAACATAACACGTATACTGTTTCATGTCTTCTGTTTAAAAATGTAGTATGCACTATATAATGTGCAGTATACAGTAAGCAGTACCCTAAGTATCCATTAAAAACATAGGTTGTTAACCATGTGTGCTTACTAACTGAAGTGTGTATTCTGCAGGAAGTGTACGTTGGTGCAGAGATGATCTGCACTGTGGACGGTCTGCACTTCAACAGCGCTTATCAATCTCGTGTTAAAGCGTTTAACTCCAGTGGAGTCGGCCAGTACAGCAAAACGCTTGTCATGCAGACATCAGAGAGTAAGAGATGTTATCTCACTGTTGCACACACACACACACACACACTTACTATTGAATGCTGTCACTCTTAATGCGTTTAAAAATGTAGTATGCACTATATAATGTGCAGTATACAGTAAGCAGTACCCTAAGTATCCATTAAAAACATAGGTTGTTAACCATGTGTGCTTACTAACTGAAGTGTGTATTCTGCAGGAAGTGTACGTTGGTGCAGAGATGATCTGCACTGTGGACGGTCTGCACTTCAACAGCGCTTATCAATCTCGTGTTAAAGCGTTTAACTCCAGTGGAGTCGGCCAGTACAGCAAAACGCTTGTCATGCAGACATCAGAGAGTAAGAGATGTTATCTCACTGTTGCACACACACACACACACACACACTTACTATTGAATGCTGTCACTCTTAATGCACAGGGAAGCTTGAGCATGTCAGTGCAAAATAATACAGCAGATTTTATTAGTAATGTCAATATAGTGTGCAGTTTCTACAAATAGGATATACTTTGGTGTCTTTTTTAAGGAATTAGAGGCATACATTTTTGTTGTTAGGCCATGAGATACATTTGATAAACTAGTTTCTAACATAAAATTTAATTAGTAGCTAGTTTTGCATGTGTGTATCACTCTTAAACATTGTTCAAAACTCATTAACTTTATCTTTTTAGATTTTATACATATCATTTTTTTCAGATTGTATAGATGTTGTATATTTATCAAAAAGTATCAAAAATTATACATCAGGCTTCTGAGGAACCTTTATTAGTATAACTTTCAATCATTATTGTATTGCAAACTATCAGAATTTTATCTGAACTTTTTCCATATAAATATCAGCAACTGCACATAATTTCTAAATGCTCAGTTTAAAATTGAATAAAATAAAATTGCTTATTAAAATTGGTGTTTTTTTCCCTCCTTGAATTTAAGCTCCATATTCTCCTGTATCATACTATATGAGCCACGAAAGCCTGATGTATCAAATATGATACTTAACAAAAACTTTTTTTACATTTACATCATATTTTTATTATATTCTTACATTTCAAAAAGTTTGATTTTTCTGGCTATTTTATCATATGTTAGACTTGACAGCTTAATGTAAATTATACACATTGTTGCATTGTTGCAAAATCATCATTTAAAATAAATAGAAAATCAATCAGGTCTTATAATATTTAGTTTGAACTCCTGAAATTTGAGCATTTACCATTGATCATTTAATGTAAAAAAAAAAAGAAAGAATTTCAGGCTCTTTTTTTGTGCCCTATTCATGGAAAGTGCCAGTGACGTCACACTGAAAGTCTGCTGTGTAGAGGTCTTTATGAACACCATTGTATGTCTAATTGTATGTTACTAATATAAATGAATATCATTGTGCTGTTAACTGTACTAACGCTCTAGTAGTTTATCACTTGTAAGCGCTGAATAAGTCCAGCTTCCCTGATCTGCTGCTTTCCTTCCTCTCTTTCAGTACCCAATTCTGTTACTTTCTTTTTTTTTTCTCCTTCCACCCCTCTACATTTTCTGTCCTCTGCATTTCTCTGCCTTTTCCACGTTTCTTTATCTCTCCAACCTTCTCTCGCTCTTTTCCCCTCTTTCTCTTGATTTCAGTGAGTCTGCTTTCATATGGTAGTAAAACTCTGGCAGCAGGTATGAATGCCTGAACATCATCATTATGTTAACCTCATATACCCTGTGTGTGTGTGTGTGTGTTTGCAAGTTTGATTTGCAGTGTCTCTGTGTTCTTAAACTCATCTGGACTTTTATTCTTACTGTAAATCAAAGCTCAACCAGCCTTCATGACCATATGTGTATGTGTGTGTTGTTTCTGCAGTTGCCTGGTTCACCTTTGACCCTGCATCAGCCCACCCTGACATCATCTTGTCCAACGACAACCTCACGGTGACGTGTAACAGTTACGACGACCGTGTCGTAATGGGCAACACAGGGTTCTCTCGTGGCGTGCACTACTGGGAGATGACCATCGATCGCTATGACAACCACCCTGACCCTGCGTTTGGAATTGCCCGGGCTGATGTCATAAAGGACGTGATGCTGGGGAAGGATGATAAAGCCTGGGCCATGTATGTGGATAACAACCGCTCCTGGTTCATGCATAACAACTCACACACCAACCGGTATGAATACATTTGTCTATGTGTGCATGTGTGTTTTGCAACTTCTCGATTAAATGATTATCATGAGAATCTTAAACAATTAAATTTCTATACATCGTGTTATTACTTTTTCAAAAGCACTGGCAATTAAAGACCATGTTGCTCACGGTTTTTAGCAAAATCTACCAGCTCATGCACTGAAAAACAATTGGTGTAGAAACAATTTTCACTCTGAAATTGCTAATAAATTTCACAGTTACAAAGAAACAGCAAGTAACACACTGAATTAAATGTGAAAGTTTGAAGTAGAAAAACCGTAGTAGTATTTTATAATAAATCATACTCCAATAATCTTTTGTTTTATTTACAACTTCAAAAAAAATGTACAGTGTAGATATCAATAACTTTTTTTAAAA